GAAACTGCAGAACTCCTAATGTACTGCCAAACGATATATTTATTTTATATTTATCTCTTCATTTAATTGATAACATTTGTATTTATGTCAATTACAATGAGAAATGTTTGAGAAAGATTCACATAGAAACACAAGAAATAGAGAAACCTGCCTGTTTGCAATGGGCCGTTGGCTTGACCTGTGGTGATGTTGGCTGCAACACTCTTTCTGAAACTTAAAGTTACCTGCAGTGATTGAGCCGCAGCAAGTGAAGACCAGAAGCCAGTGATTGACAGAGACAGAGATTTGTGGAATTATTTTAGATAGTGTACATTTACACTGTACATTTGTAAGATTGTAAAATCTAGAGCTGAAAGCTGAGATCACCATTTCTTTCATTTCCTTCATTTCCTTTGCCCGTTGAAGTAACTGCAAGTCTGTCTTACAGCAAAAATCATTATTGAAGTTCAGACACATAATCCACTTGCTTACATTTAAATAATCAAGTAATGTTTATTTCGCCCTCTACTATTATTGCTGGTTCATGTCGCAAGAGGTTTGAATAGGCTAATTATGATACCGGCAAAGAAACCTGGAGAGGAATGACACCGCGGATCAAAGAAGAATCCCCAGACTATACTGTATTCTGTAGATAGATAGAAGTCAATGTATTGGCATCATTATTTTGGATCATGGGGTGTGATGTACCATTTAATTATACACTGACGCTGTGTGAACAGTGGCCCTACTCGACTGTCTCTGTAATTCACGGCTTTGTAATCACTGCCAAGTCAGAACATGCAGCTGAAAAGACATTTAATTAGCTATGAGTTTGAGCGGTTTTGCTCATAAGCGAACATTCTATTTACCACCTCATCTCCTTAACTGCCAGACCATTTAATTGTCCCGAAAGATAAAAATATAGTGAGACAAAGGTAGATTAGGGGCAGAGGGAAAAAAAATTGATCATGTTGAGTCACATTTTTTCCCACAGCTCTAAATCTTCAGGAGCATTGATTGGAGATAGCTCCTCCACCAGATACCGATAATGTTTGATTGGATAATAGTAGCCTCATAAATTGTGGTAATGATTTCTCTGGAAACTAAAATGGTAATCCAATAGACATCATTAAGCTTCTTTTAATTGTACGCTTCCCGGGGGGGAAGATAGACCTGAATGATGTTATTCTTATTATAGCTCTGTCCTTTTTAATGGTTTAGGGGATGTACAACATGAACAAGATTCATGTGAATGTTTCCCCACGCATTTCTGTCACAGCCACTAACAAATTAAAGTGCTTTACATATGTTACAGATGCTGTCCTCACTGGGCTGATTTCCATTAAAAAGACACAGTAAAAATATAACCCTGGAAAACAGCGTGTTTATGTTAACGTGTGAGGATATACGGGTATAGACGACTTGAAATTCCTTTCAACAGACTCACGGCAATGATCAAAAATTAATTTCAAAAAGGTGATACTGTACCATATATATGCTGCATCTTGGAAAATCTATTTTTGCACACCAGTCATTACGGGAATCCTTGGCAGAAAATAGAGAGAAACACAATTGCTAGGTGCTGACAGAAAGCAGATCCATAATGTCATATCTCCTTTTCATATTTCCATCACAACTATGTAATTATGATTGGATTTCTCCCCAGTTTCTCGGCAGAGGTGGTAATATGAGGCTCGTTACGATGGCCGTGTTGGAGGTCAGAGGAAAGACAGTCTGTGAGTCTGACCTGTGGAGTTGAGCAGCAAACACTGGTTTTAACCACTCTACGACTGCTATACAGAGCTACCACTCTTTTCTTGGCTTACATCTGTCTTCCTCTTCATATGACACTGCACATTTTGCTATATATGCTCTGCTCCACTGCAGAGGAAACAGATTAAGACGTTAGGAAGCCGGTGCCAAGGGGCCTCTAACGCACCGGCCACGTTTACTAAAGCCTACTGTCTGCTCCCACACACCTCTTCGGCCAAACGTAGGGGAACTCCTGGGACAGTGCTACATTTTTAATGAAAGCACAGCGCCAATGTTTATCTTCTCTGATGTGAACCGACACAGCCAGTTCTCAATGTAGTCCAACACCAGGGCAGATTGATTCATTATCCTTAAATAAGGGAGGCTTGTGTTTAAGGAGTTCATCCTGTAGGTCTGATCATCTGTAATACTCTCGAGTAAGACCCACCATTATACCTGCACGTAAGATGTCGCCTCTCGGTTTCTGCACCGCGACCTCTCTCTGGGGAAATGCATCTGAACGTAGAAGATGCAAATGCATGTGGGAGCGAACGTGCAGCAAGGAAATCTTAATTACATCCTGTTTTGCAGGGGTGCATAATAGTCCTGCACCTCCGAGCACCTTGAATCTCAATACCCGCTCATTGCACCTAGACCTTTTATTTATTTATTTATTTTCATTTCTTTATTAGGCGCTGGGTGAATAGGGAATAAATTGAAACTCTTGTCAAATTAAAGAGACAACAAACAGACAAGTATTTCCAGGACACTACTGTATCTAATGACTACAACAGATCCATATCAGGCCCCCATGTCCCAGGAGAGTGGAAAAATAACAAATATGGAGCTGGTGCATAATTACTCCCACCACTGGAGATACACAGGCATGTGTCTGCTAATTTCATGCCACTGCAGAGCAGTGTAGGTGTGCATTAGCCATGTTTCCTCATGTAGCCTAATCCTCAACAGTCCCTCAAGGAGTGTTTTTTCCACTAGTCTAACTGTCTTGTATGGATTTTAGGCTGCTTTGCAACATGTCGTAACCTTATTATCTGCACTCTCTGACTCTGTCTTTGGAGGCGTTTATGTAATCTGAATGTCACAGAGCAGTCGTTGACCTTTGGTGCCTTGACATGTGGGTCTTGCAGTTTATCCATTTAGCTTAAGGGTGACACAAGCCACATCTGCACAGCAAGTCCACTGAAATGAGCAGTTTTTATATGATGTTTCCTTCTTTCTTTTTTTTTTTTTTTGGGAGGTCACCAACAGTAAATAAGCTGTCAGTGGAATAAAGTGGGTGTCAAATCATATGAATAGACAGAGGGGGAAATGGACGCTTAAGGGCCCAGTGAGTTCCAACAGTGACATGGTTTAAAAGAGCTTAATTATAATAAGCTGGAGCATGGAGTAAGTGTTTGGTGGCTTGGGGGGGAAACTCAGAGACAGTGACAACAGTCCAGCTACATGAAATGGAGATTGGTCTTTGAAGGGGCCAACATAAGATTCATGCATTACTGGAACATGAAGGCCTTTTTTTTTCCACACTTCATGAAAAAGAAATGATGGCCGCCTGGCAAAATATATTATGCATAATGTCTTTTCCTTTGTAAGTCATCAAGCTTCATAACAGTTTATCCATTAGGAGAACAAGAACGCTTACAGTGTTATTTCATTAGGTTTTTACAAATGCGAGTTATGCTTTATGAAAACAATAAATCCCACCATAGATTTGTGTGTCCCAACATAGTTTGTTAATCGCATTATTGTTAATTAATGATGCAATTCTTTTTAGCTAATGGTCGACTGTGTGTATTGACTCAAAATAAGGGAATGAGATTGGGAACTTGAGAGGAGAGCGACACACTTTAATCACTGTGAAGAAAAGCCAGGGGGAAGAAAACAGGAGAAATATATAAATAAATGCAAAATTTATCGATAGTTTTATATCCTTGTGAACTGGTTTACAAGAAAATATTGGAATTACAGTCAGAATGATTTATAATCTATTGTTCAGGCTAAGGCTGTTTAACTCCCTGCCCCTATGAATATTAACACACTGTCTCTCCCTCTCGCGCTCTCTATCGCACTCTCTGTTTCTCCTCTTCCCTAACTTAGTCACACACTCACGCACACACTCACTCACACAGTCACACACACACACACACAGACGTAAATGCATAGCACACTAGCAGAGCGCCTTGTCTAATTTTTCATGAAGATAGCTGTTTTTATGCTAATCTGACAGCTGCATTCATTTTCAGGCTTTCTCGCCGACATTTATTTCCCAATCACATACTCACTCGTTCCCACTTGCACACATGCACACACCCACACACACACGCATACAAATACTTATATTCATCCATGACCATACTTCTCTATGTCTTAGAAAAACACCACCCTAATGAAGCTTTTTAATTGGGCAGAAATAGGCACTTATTTGATTGAGACGAGTCTGACAGCTCTGAAGTGCTGGATGCTTGGCATCAAAACCTGAGACTTTGGCTTTGTACACGCAGCCGTACTCCCCCTTTTAATAGACCACTGCCTTCATTAGTCGAGGACTTATTTCTAACCATCAATTTGACTAGTTCACTGGCAAATTGCTGCGAGGCTTCTTCGCACTGAATGGCTAGGTAATTAGAAGCACTCTCCCATCTACCAGGTCATGTTCAGACCTTTCATACAGCTTCTAAAGACAACGGGGTAATGTGGCGAGACAGGAAAAAGCTGGTTTGGAGGTCAAAAGAAGGGCATAATTGGACCAGTCAGTCAATAACGCTGCCGGCTGTGTCTGCCTTTGAGGCTGCTAATGAAGCGCGAGAGCTGAGGAGGTGCCCGCCGCTGGCATGCTGGTTACCTGGGCACCGGGGACACGGCTGCACACTCGCCGGGGCTCACTTGTATCTCTATCCTCTAGAGGTGAAGCAGGCACTGGCAGTAAAACTGAGTAATTGTGCAGCATTATGAGGAAAGTGGTTCCTGCCTCCCTCATTCCTGCTGAATTTTCCCATGCTCATGAATTGACATGAGTGTACTTAAACCCCCAGACAGGGCTGAGAGCTGTTCGAGAGTGATATGTTGCTCTGCGCTTTGCAAAGTCATTACTCAGCACAATGTAACACTCCAGACTGACGTGTTCTGTACACATGGAACTGATTAGGGCTTTGCTGTGTTAATAATGTTTATGTTGACAGTCAGTGGTTCACCTCAGGTACACAATTTTAAAGAGGAATACACTGTTAACATCTTTTTTTTTCTCTTTCTAGCGGGAACAACGTACATATTCGGGCGAGATGGTGGACAGATCACATACACGTGGCCGCCAAATGACCGTCCCAGCACGAGGGCAGACCGGCTAGCCATCGGTTTCAGCACTCACCTGAAGGATGCTGTCCTGGTGAGGGTGGACAGCTCCTCTGGTCTCGGAGATTTCTTGAAGCTCCACATCGTAAGTCAAGAAGATGCTTTTCAAGTGCAGCACACACAGTTATACACAGGACACACATTAGGTTAAAGCCACTGAGAGTAGGCTACATCCTTACAATACATACAATACATCAACTTTAGTACGGATATGCATTCCCACTGTGGAGTTTGAGAGCTGCTAAAATGGAGAAATTTGAGACACTGCTGGCCCTGTTTTAGTTTGATATCTTCAGGGCTGCGTTTTTGTCTGGATTGACAGAAACTAATGTTTGGAAATGATCACAAAGAAACTAGCAACCACTTGCTGATTGGGTCAATTGGGTCACAACGTTGACTTCGCTGATTCGTCAAGCTCCAATCACATGACCCCATTTTGGAAGAAAACAACTGGCATTAGCCCTGTTTACCAGTGTAGAAGCTAACGTGGATAATCAGTTACAAGCGTGGCTGACTTTGTTGTCCTTGGTAACAGCTGTTGTGCAATTCAATTCTGCATTTTACAATAATACAGCTGCTGACATGCATAGGAGATAAGCCATTATTAGAGCAATACCTGTGTACACCAGCATGTGCATACCTCTCTGTTTATGCCTCTTGTAGGTGATTGGTCATGTGATATGCATTAATTGCAGATCGGGATTAAAAATGCTGCGGTGAACAGAAATCGTTTTAGTTTGAAAACATCATTTTCAAATATAAATATAGTAGTATGGCATCGCCTTATTTTCTTAATCAGCTCAATGAGTGATGAAAGAAAGATAGTATTCTATGCCAAAAATAGAACTGTTTATGTTTTTATTTCACATTTCTGTCGTGCTTTTTTTTCTCTCAGTGCTTTTCACACTGATTTCAGGTGGGTGGAGATCAGTGGGAAACATGATGTCATTCACTTGCGGATCTGGGAGCACTTAAATCTGATTCTAGTGACAGTTGGTGGGTTTGTGTGGTTGTTGTCAATCAAGTTCGATCAAACCACACCAACACAGTCCTGATGAAGCAGATATTTTTAGTGCATGCCGTCTAAAATGTTTTTGTTGCTTATTTGGTCACAAAAATCTGATATTAAAGAGAAAAAAAGAAATCCAAGTTTTCTGAGGAAGTCACCGTTTAATAGCACAAGTACAACATGTATGTCCAGCAGTACATTATTGCTTTCCCACCTCCTCAGTTGTGTTTGTGCAACAGGAACTGAGGGTAATGGTGTGGTAATAAGGGTTGGTTCCATACAGTGCATCTATGACCTGGACATAATTCTGCTGGCCTTCCTCTCGCTAGTACCCTTTTACTGACAACAACGCTGACACTGGCCAGAAGCATACAGGAGCACAGCACACATATATACACACATGCAGCACAGCACACATGCACAAAAAAATCATGAAATTGGTCTCGAAGTTTGCCTCCACCGCAGCTGCCCACACACTGAGATTCATACATACAGTAAGCATGCAGTGACATAAGTAGGGCTGTCCTGAGGACACACAGCAGCTGTGATGTTGTTCTTATGAGACACCTCCATATACTCTGTCCTGTGTGATTTTTTTTTCGCCAATTTTTCTCTTCTCCCAAAGCCTCAGGGCTAAATGTTGTTTATTTGCCCCTATTTTTAATTGAGGAGTGATCGGCCACTTAAAAAAATACATACTTTTTCATGCACAACATTCATCAGCAATTGCCACATAGGGACACGGACAAGATGTTCGAAAGACCATAAAGCGGAGTGTTGGTGTAAAGGGACAGATGTGCTCACTGACATGTGCAAATGCTCCGCTGCAACCCTCATGTGCTCTGCAGCTTCCTCGGTTCTTCTTCACCTGCACGAAAATACCTCAACAGAGAAGAAACAGGCAAGATTTGCTTTATACACTAATTTTATGTGAGTGATGGAAAAAACATCTCAGACGATTTGCTTCTTTTAAAAAAAAATGGCACAGCAGGGCTCATCTCAATGCAGTGTTGAATTAATATACATACATATGTGCTCCTTTGCTTAAACATCATGCAAAAATATTCCTCAACGGCTCACTATCTCTTGCAATTCATTCAAATATCATGTAGCTATTCAGTCCCTTGTCACAGGAGATAAACACTGTTGTTTGTACCTGGTGCACAGCTCTGCAGCTGCAGCATGTAAAACATTGCTGAGGAAAGACACTGTTCACACTGTATCCTAATGAAACATCTCCTACAGTCAGAGCCTGTGTGCCGTGGCTTTATGTTTTACTAGAGATGAATGTTAGAGGTGAGGGACCTGAGCCGCACAGACAGGTAAGGTGAGAGAATGGGGAGTCTCGCACGGAATAACGAGGCTACGAGATCATGCGGCTTACAGCAGATACACACGTAGTCCCGTTGATGGAATGTGCAGCATTCAATTGACTTTTTAGTGAGAAAAAAATGTTGATAAGGCATGTTCTTATACAGCAGGGGCAGTGGGTTGTGAGAATCCCCGCTCCTCTCGCATCAGCAGTCACTCTGAATGCCTCCGCTTATTTATTTATTTCCTTGCATTAATCTCGGGGCTTTGTGAAATGTTGCATTTCATTAGAAAATGAGAGAAGCATGAGAGAATTTGAGTTTTAAAGAGACGGAGGAAGCAATGGAGACACAGAAGATCATGCTCTTAATTTTTGCGCATCTGGTTATAGAGGATGAGCAACAGGATCATTGGATGGAAGTGTATAAAAATATTTTGGTTCTGTGCATTATAAAGCTGTAACAGGTTCAAATAAAACACCAAATTAACATGTTCTATCAAATGAAAGTTAAATAATGATCATTTTATTATACGAGTGCAGTGCTCGTTGTAAACCTGCCTGTTTGGAATGGGTAGTTTACTGTGGAAATACTGCAGAGCTCCTCAGAATCATTTCTTGTCATTAGAGAGGACTCCTCAAACAGTTAAATAGACTATATAATATTTATACAATTGTTATGTGCTGGAAGTTGTGTGCAGAGCTTTTTATAAACAGTCTGTTGTGTAGAGGGAAGTTAAAAACTCAACATTTTTCATAAAATCAAACTGAACTTGTTTTATTACTGCTCAAGTGTGAAGCTTACATATAGGTTTGAATAATTTACTTAAACTGCTTTTAATTTTACAGACATGAAAGGTCTGGCAAACAATCATCAGACCCACGTTCACAACCTTTCAAAAATAAAAGCTTTGTCATTCTGCTTGTTATAAACCAACTAACCTCCCAGAAAAACAAACGCTGTGCTTTTACTTTGAAGCCAAATTGCTAAAGACTGATTCTATGAATATTGCTACCACAACAGAAATCAGCAATAGTGAACATCTGCATCAGTCTGATGTGGTGAAATAAAATGAACCAATCAACAGCAAAAGACATGTAAAGTTGATAAGATGAATGGTGTTTATTGAATGTATTTTTTTTAAACAGACACTCAGTTGAAGTAAGAGGTATTTCCTTAGCTGCGTGCTCTATCCAAATAGAAAAATAGCAGAAAAATTAAATCACAATACATTATGAAATTGGAGTACTTATGATACAAACCCTCTAGATATGTGTTTCACACCTCTGTCTTCTCCTCATTAATTACAGTGGAAAGGACGTGTTTTACAGCACTCCATTAAACACAATGAGCTGTGCAAAATTGCTACTTTGATGCGTTTGTATTATGCAAGAATAGCAGCACTCAGCTAGTCACCTGCAAAACCCTTATTTGGTTGAACTGTACCCTGAGCAGATCATGCCATAATATGGCATATTATTATAATATAATCACGCTGAGGCCTAATTTGCTGTAGCATGGCATTGGGAGCTAGTTAGTTTCATTCACAGTGGCCAAATTGTCCTATTTCCTTAAGTAAATGTATTAAATAAGTGTGACAGACTGTTGATTTACATTATTGAATATGTAAAAAACAATTTATGGAGTTGTTAATTCATTCAGAGTTGCATACTTTGCTAACAATGTTTTATACGGCTGATTCCCAATGGTATTCCCCTGATTCCTTTCATTTACCTCAGCTCTGAGCACAAATGTCTAAGGAGGAGTGTATCTTCAGCTGTATGAGATGGGATTAGACCAGATTTCAGTATTTACCCCCCTCATTCTTCATCCTCTACATCCCTTACCCCCCCTAATCTCCTGCTCCCATTTCATGATGACAGGAAACCCAGCAGGGCTTGAAGGACACCATCTCAGCTCACACTCTCAAGAGGGAATTTTTCGAGTAATATGTGGAGACTATGATTTAAATGCACCTCAAAGGAATTGTGATCCCTCCCCGCATCTCCATCTTTATCACAGATAAAGACAATGATTGTGAAGTCAGCGAACCATCAAATGTACGACAATCACTTCCTCGGGCTCATTACTGTAGCATGGAAGCAGGACTAGATTCATAATAATGTTTCTGCTGTTTCTCCAATATCCACAATCCCTTTCACTTTTGCTAAGGTGAAGCATTTTCATGAGGCCCCTCGAACAAGGACATAAGACCTGCCTTTAGTGTGCCCTAGCAAAGTATGTACATATATAAAATTAATTGCACTATAACTGGAAGTTAAATCCAGGGGAAAAATTCACAATGACATTATGCAAAACAGGGAATTATGGATGTAATGATCCTCTGTTGGTCTTGGCAGTAGGGTAATCCATGCAGAAGAAGAATAAGAACAAAGTTTGTAAGATGTGGGTTTTCAGTAGTTTCTCTGTAATACATAATATACTTTGTAATACCTGGAAAATCTCCATACAGAATATTATAGAGGTAGATTGTACTATGATGCTGTTAAGGTATCATTTATTTTTTCCACACAAACAACTGCTGTTATTGGAAATCCATCTGCACATTTTTGAAAAGCCATTTATTCTGAGATGTAGGCTTTGCAGTTGTTTTCTTCTTTTTTGTTGGGTGGTGACAGTGACTATCAGAGGCTCACTTCAGTCTCAGGTGGGGCCCCGAGGGGCCCAATGAGCTTGTTTTGTGCCTCAACTCAGTCTCTGTGTGGGGGTTGGGGACCATTCCCAGCATTTTCTTTCCCCTCTTCT